CTATTTACACAGACCTGGAATGTGCACCCCAGAGTTCACCCAACAGGGATGTGACTGGCAGTAGTCACTTAATGTGCACTTCATATGGTAGTCCGAAGTTGCTGGAGCTATATTAGATTTGGGAATTGCTGTTTTAGGCTTAATCATCCAAGTAATTCTATGAATTTGAGCTTGATGTCTACTTATTGCTACTGATTTCTTTGTCTTTTCTTTGTACTGCCGTGATTTGTGAGAATTATTTATGGGGTGTGGACATGTAGAGTCTTCTCTAGTGGTGATCCTTTCAAGTCTCAATGGGCCATTAAATTTACTTGGCAGTAAAACTTCACATATCTATTGATTCAACTCTTGACCTGGAATTTGGAAATATTGGGTAGAATCTGTATGACGTTTGACCTTAGCTTTAGGTTTTGCTTTCAATCTCCGAAACTAATTTTATAAAAATGAAGCTGGAGTTAAAATAATGAAATGCTGCTATAGAATTTTAATTTTAATTAAGTCAGTGATTCAAGGCTGAAAAATAGCAAGCCACATCTAAATGCAGTGTTAAAAACACTGCAGTTCTACATTTGAATATTGTTGTGAGAGATCTAGTAACACTCTATTTTTATTGTTCCTTTATTTTCAACAAATACAGAACCTATATGGTCAAAGCAAATGTCTGTCTTGCAGATGGCATTAATAACAATGCTGCCTTTGTATATACAGAAATACAGCTTGAATTGCTTCAATGCAGCAACATGCTTTATGCTCTGCAACTTGCAGGTGCAAGTCTTTCATGAAGAAAGATGAATTGTGTTTTAGAAAGGTACATGGGATGTGAATTCTTGTGTAGCATGGCCCTCTAGAATGTCCACCGAGGTCAGACCTGTGTGTTGATTGCATGTTCCTATTGTAAAGAGTCTTTTTAAAATCTGGTCTTATAGTCATAAATCTTGTACATGCAGGTTTATCATCATCACCTTTCTAGAAATGGAACAGTGTAAGGGGCCATAGAGTGGTGTGTTTTGGGAGGGACCTTTGCTCTTGTCAAGTTCCACTCTCGTGCCATAGGCAGGTTCACCTTCCACTAGAGCTAGTTGCTCAGGGCCCCATCCAGCCTGGCTGTGAACACTTCCAGGGATGGGCCATTCCACAACTTCCCTGGGTAAAGTTGTACCAGTGCCTTGACACCCTCATGTAAACAATTTCTTCCATATATCTAGTCTAAATTTTCCCTTTCAGTGTGAACCCATTACTCCTTGTCTTACCACTACAGTTCCTGATGACCAGTTGCTCTCTGGCTTCCTTGTATGCCCTTCAGATACTGCTTCTATGAGGTCTTCATGCAGCTTTCTCTTCTCCAGGCTGAACAGCCCCAGCTCTCCCAGCCTGTCTTCATAGGGGAGGTACCTGAGTCTCCTTATCAATGTCATGTCCCTTTTCTGGGCTTGCTCCAACAGTTCAATGTCCTCCTTATGCTGTGGGCACCAGAAATGTCCCCAGCACTTGGGGTGGGGGTTCATGAGGGCAGAGTGGAGGGGGAGGTTCCCCATCCCTGACCTGCTGGTCACACTCCGTTTGATGTTTATGGCTGCTGGCATGCACTGCTGGCTCATGCTAAGTTTTTCATCAGCCATCACCCCCAAGTCCTTCTCCTCAGGGCTGCTCTCAATCACTTCTCTGCACAGCTTCTAGGTGTGTTTGGCATTGTCCCCACTCAGGTGTAGGACCTTGCACTTTGCTTTGTTGAACTTCATCAGGGTCACAGAGCTCCACCTCTCAAGCTGTCAGTGTCCCTAGGGTGGCATCTTCCCCATGCAACATGTTGATTGCACCACACAGTTTATTGTCATCAGCAGAATTGCTGAAGGATGCTCTCCATCCTGTGGGATTCCCTCTCTCAGGAAGATGGAGTGACTTGGGATGAAAGTGTCAGTGTTTCAATTTTTTAAAAAAATTACAGTTAACAGTTGAAATTACAATTTCAAATATTTGTTGACCAAAATATTAGCCTGAGAAAACTTCTGTGCTAAAATAATCGTAGCATGATTTTGTGAATTATAGCCTTAATTAACAGTCTGCATTTGCCTTTTAGGTGCTTATGCAGTTGAGGGTCTGTGAGTTGTTTTCGTAAGCCACTGGTGTGCTGTGTCACACCTTGGCAAAGTAGCAGCATGGAGCTGTGAGCATGGAGCTTCAAGGGCATCTCTCAAGTACTGGATAGATGTGCTTGCTACCTGAGTAGTTGCTCTTACTTCTTATGAGGAAAAGACATTAAGGTGTTTGTGCACTTGCCTTTGTATGTTAATTTGAAGGCCTTGAACTATGCAGTTAATTGCCTATTGATTTTGTGGGTGTAATAAGCAATTGGCTTGGCACATTCCAGAGTAACTTTTATCAGGTAAAATTAAGCAACTGTATAGAAGATCTTTGGTCTCTTAAATTGTACCTTAAATATATTTGCATGCTGAGGGGAGCTTTTTTGTAAAATGTAGAATTGCACTAGTGGTTATTATAAAGATTATTTGGAGTGTTGGAATAAACAATTAAATAAAAAGTAGAGAAGGCTGCATTTAAGAGATGGACACATCCTTTTGATTTCAACAAGGCCAGGTCCCGTGTCCTGCACTTGGGTCACAACCCTATGCTTTGCTACAGGCTTTGGGGAGACTGGGTGGAATGGGCCCAGTGGAGAAGGACCTGGGGATGCTGATTGACAGCAGCTGAAAGTGGCCAAGGAGGCCCATGATATCCTTGCGTGTATCAGCAATAGCGTGGCCAGCAGGACCAGGGCAGGGCCGTGCCCCTGTGCTGGGCACTGCTGTGTCCTGGTCTGGGCCCCTCGGTTCTGGAAGGAGATTGAGGGGCTGGAGCGGGTCCCGAGAAGGGCAATGGAGCTGGGAGGTTCTGGAGGGTAAAAGCCCTGTGAGAAGCACTTGAGGGAGCTGGGGGTGTTCAGCCTGGAGAAAAGGAGGCTCAGGGGAGACCTGACCCCTCTCTAAGCTGCCTGACAGGAGGATGGGGTGAGGTGGGGATCGGCCTCTCCTCCCAGGCTACCGGTGACAGGATGAGAGGACATGGCCTGAAGCTGCATCAGGGGGATGTTCAGGTTGGACATCAGGAGGAATTGCTTCATGGAAAGGATTGTTAAGCATTGGAAAGGGCTGCCCAGGGAGGGTGGTGTCTCTGTCTCTGGAGGTGTTCATGAAACAACTGGATGAGGCGCCTTGTGCTGTGGTCTAGTTGACATGGTAATGGTCACTTAAAGGTTGGACTTGGTGACCTTGGAAGCCTTTTCCAACCTTGATGGTTTTGTGATTCTGTGACTTGTGATTTATCTTGTCAGAGAAGCTCTCAATAATTTCTAAGAATTCTGAACATCATGTAAACAGTATAATTTGTAAATCTGATTCGTTTGATCTATTACATAGAATTTGTGTAGTGAAGTAGCTCTTGAAAATCTTCCAGCAGACCTTAACTGAAAAAAAAAAGAGCTGAGAACCCAGCTCTTGATATAAAAGAATATTATCAAATATATCAAAGAATATCAAAGAATATTATAAAAAGGAATATTTTGATGAAAGAAGCAATCTGTAGATAGTTCTGTGCAGGTGATACCTGGAGCCTGTCTTCCCCTTCCACTCTCCGCTGTGTGCACCAAGTCAAATAGCATACTACAAAATTACATGTGCCCCTGTGTGTACCAGACTTAGCTTGCCTGTCTCTGGGGAGAAGGAATTCAGGCTGAAGTCAGGGTTCTTTGGAGTCCCTGACTGGGAGGAAAATTGGAAGTCTTAATTAAGTCCTTGACACAGGGCAATGTATTTGACAACAATAATAATATTCCAAATCAACAGTTTCAGATTTGTGGTTCTGGGACTCCATTAACTCCATTAGAAGTTTGTTGGGTCATTTTAACAAAATGTATATGGCTTTTGACTAAGAGCGGGTAAAACCAGTAGGCAGCAAAACATTTAAATTGTGTGATTTAAATCTGAAATCTCTCTAATCTGAAAATACAGACCGGTGTGTAAGGGAAACTGCTAGACACAGTTTTATCATATTAAAACTTCCAAACTGGATCTTCAGTTCAGTATGTGAAGAAAAAAGTCTTGCCTTATGTGTCATCCTGCTGGGAAATTAAATGCTGTAGTCTAATTTGGGCTATTTTTGTAGGTCATTTGGTGGGGCAAATAGGGCACGTCAGTAAAGATCGTGTCAGTGCTTTTTGTTTTGATAATCTTTACTGAGGGCACAGTTGAAGGAATTTGGAGAGGATCAGTGATGTTATGAGGATCTTCATTCTCATTTCCTGTTTTTCCTTTCTGGAGAAATACAAAGTGCACCACTTGAGATTCATAAACTGGTTAATTTGGTGTTTAGTCAGAAAACAGTTTTGTGCAGTTAGTGTTTGCTGTTGAATTTTTGGTGATACATCAGAGATACCAGGGCAGACTTTCTTTAAGAGTGGTAGGAATAAAATCAGTAACTTCATCTCTTTACTACCTTCAGCTGCATACGTCAGAATGGGCTCATAATAATAAAACTTCCATACAGGAAATAATTCAGGCATGAAACAACAGTTTCATATGAAATTGGACAGCTTCATAATTTAGAAATACATTAATGAACTGAATTACAGGGTTATATGCTAATCCTACCATTGAACCATTTGAGGTAAAATATTTACATGTGTTTGTGGCATGTTTTAAAGATAATCGAGGAAAGTGTTAGTATGAACTTATGTCTTGAATTGTTATTTACATTTTTTTATCCATTCATTTCTTTCTTTATGAGATGTAGTCTGTATATTACAACTTAACTGACATTGTCTGTAACACTGCTCCTATGATAATTTAAATATTAAAAAAGGCTATTCCTTCTTGAGTTATTCTATGAATGGTGTTTCCAAACTCAGTAATGGTATTTTTTATAGTCTTAAACTGACTTTATATAAAATAAAAGTCAATTTACAACTTTCCGTTATGACTTGTTAATTTTGTTTTTATGTACTGTAGGATATGTTTTGGAGTTGCAGACAGAGTATCTTTGCTGAAATGAAGAAGAAGTTTTCCCAGGTAGACAGATGAAGTCAGCTTTATAAAATGATAACCAAGAAACATAGTAACAGCATGATGCTGTAGCTTCTATTTATTTTAACATGAGCACGAGCCACTGACATTAAACTCTGTGCATGTTCTTGGATACAAAGATGATGTACATATTAAATTCAGTCTTAATGGTAGCTTCAAATTGAGTACGTGTTGATATGCTTTTACACTGGTGTGTGAGGCTTTGGCTCTATCTCTGCATTAAATAAAGGAATTATTTTGCTCTCCTAATATATAGATTATGTAATGGTTTAAATTAATTTCTGTAGTTCTGTTGTGAATTTGGTTTGATAACAGCCTGCCAGAATAGCTGAGGGATCTATCACTGGCCAGTCTTGCTTTTCACACTTTTTCTGTAGTAAAGTGGCCCCAGACGAGGTGTTGCATTGTTGTCTTCTGTTTCAGCTGGTGTGTGTGAATGTTCTTCATGAGTAGAGTTGGGCTGAGGATATTTTTGCTTTATCTATATACTACTAACGACTAGAAGTGGTGGCAGTGTAAATGAATGACAGCTTAATACCCTTTGCTATACTGACCCTGAGTTAAACCAGTTCAGTCTGTCAGAATTGCATCTGTGAACAAGAAAGAGAGGATTTGTGTGACGTGCAACATCCAGCAACCCAATCTGCAAATCTTCTGTAATCATCTGTAATTTGTTCACTGAATGTTATTTCCATCCCTCAGATACTGTGTGCCTAATTATTTTCAGTAGTGATTCTAATGCAAGTCACAACTGATTCACCATCCAGGGTACCAGGGAAAGTGGGAGTGGGAGGAGTTGACTTCACAGGGAACTCCCTCAGGGAGGAGGGAGTCAGTGTTGGTTATGTAAAGGCAGTAGCACAAGGAATTGAGTCTCCAGTGGAGAACTGCTCATAACATGATTATACACAGTAGTCCATCAAGTTACAGCATCAATACAAAACCAGTGTGGGGATAATTAAATCCAAATTAACTTCTGTTTTCTGAGATGATCCTGTATGAATAGTAGTAAATGCCTCTTAACCCCCCTGCAGTGTTCTATAGAGGAGGGCAGGCTCCCACCCAGAGCAAGCCTATACCATTGCTGAGGCACCTGCATATAAATATGGGTTGATCTTACAAGTTTGATGGGTCTTAGCTGCTGCTCACCTTCTCAAAAAAAAAAAAAAATAAAAAAGACCACTGAACAAGCTTTACCTTCTCTTTCCTAACCACACAGTTAGGAAGAGAAAGAGACTTCAGCAAAAAAGAAAACAAAACCAAAAAACCAAAACAAAACAAAAAGACACTGTGCTGGGAAACTTCAAGGGAAGAGCCCAGGAGAAATAATCACTGGTGAAATTTAATTTTAGTCTACCTAAGTACAGCCCTGTGTGTCTCTGTGGGTGCTGTAGATGAAAGTGAGGATGTAATATGTCAGAATTACTTTGATTTCCAAACTCTGTTTTCTTCTTAATGTGTGGTTAATGTTTCAGGAATAGTTTTGTTTGTCTTCTTGGAAAGTAGTTCATAGGTGTAAAATTCTCCCATAAAAATGAAATGTATGAAGTGTTACAGATTTGCTGCAAATAACACTTCGAATCTTTCTGAGTCTGCAGTTAATGAAGGATTCTACACAGGATATTTCATTTGATAAACCTAAAGAAATTGGCTCCAAAGTCTTAAAAAAAATCCCAGTCAAAAGCAAACTAACGTCAGTCAGATTGGGTCGAGGGTGGTTTTATTTGCCTTCCTCTGACAACTTTTTTGTGATGCTGATAGGAATTGATGCTGCAGTCAGCTAACATTTTATTCTATCCCTGTGTGAACACTGCCAGCAGATCTTGCAATCCCCTGTAATGAAGGCATGCAGCGTCAGCTGGAATGTCCGTGTTCCTTTTCCAAGGGTTTGGTGATGTAAGAGCTCTCAAAAGGGGCTGGACTCCTTTGGTGGTGCTCATCTATCTGTATTGTGAGGCTGGATGTGTAGAAATGCAGTGGATTCTGAGGATTATCAGGTCTTCTTTGTAGTTCTCTATTCTCAAGGAAGCTGCTTGTGATGTGGCTGAGAGTTTGAGCATGAACATAATTATTGCCATTTGTTGTTCTTATCCACTGAGAATCATGATAGCACTGCATGTGTTTTTTTGCCTTTTTGGATGCTGTGGTCTTTAGCCATGGACTGAGATTTGGGCACTCTGACAATGCATTACTAATGCTTCTGTGTGTTAGAGCTTGAAAAGGCTGAGTCCCTGAAGGACTAATTCCTTTTACTTACCTGATTCTTTCCTCTGAGATGTGTATTTAAATATCCGTTATTCCTTCTTGTTCTACAGTTTTGGATAATTAAGATAATTAATTGATTGTTCTTAGGTGTTTGACTTCCTGCATTTTCAGTGTTGGAAAAATACTGTTTTTCTTGACTTACGTGGGTCTAGAAACTTCTATTATTGTTCCATTACCGCTCTTTAAAGATCATTATTGTTCTGATTTCAGATACATTGAAGTTTCTGTTTAAACTCTTTTTGCCTTGTCCAGTAGCCATTTGTCAGTGATAATTTTCTTTGTTCAGGCAGAAGAATATCTCCTGCAACTCAGACAGCGATGGAGTTAATAGGAAGTTGGTGGCTTGATTATTAAACTTTTTGTTTAGTGGTCAGCTTCCAAGTTTGCTTGGAAGCTTGCAAGTTTTCTGGGCTGCATTCCTGAAAGTCACAAAAGGTATATTCTGCCTCAGCAGGATTTATGATTGTGTCAGAGCTGGAAGTGATGACTTGGAAGTCTTGTTTCTGAGTTTGAAGCAGTCTTCTCTCCACTTGCTAGCTGAAATTCTGTGAGCGGTTTCTCTGTCCCCACACCCGTACAAATTCCTTCTTGTTCTATAAAAATGGAGCTTGTTTTTATAGATTTTTTTTCAAAACTGGAAGGTTCTTAATTTTCTCATGCTCTCTTTGGAAAAGAAAGTCCAGTTTTAGGAACCTTAGATTTTAAAAGTATACTACATCTTATTGCTTAAGTCTTGTTTTGATTTTTCAGTTAAACTCCTAAATATTCCTACTTTTGCTCCTGAATTGTTGTGTGCTGTCATTGCAGGCAGAATGTGCTGCTGAGGAGCCCAGGGTGCTGTGTATAATACAGGACACCACGAATTCCAAGACGGTGAATGAGCGTGTTACCCTGAACCTGCCAGCTTCCACCCCGCTCAAACGGCTCTTTGAAGACGTGGCTGCCAAAGTGGGCTACGTCAATGGCTCTTTTGATTTGCTGTGGAGCAATGGAGACAGTGTCACTGACACGGTAGGGCAGCTGAGCTTTCTGCTTCCTCTGGTAGCAAACACTTCACAGAAAGAAAACCTCTTCCTGTGTTGCATGATGCCCATTTAATTTCTGTAACATTTTGTGCTGGGTGCACCAAAGCAGGCTGATGCCACTGTGTTGATTTGGCTGAATTTTAGTCTCAAAGTGTGCACTTCAATGATACATCTGTTTAATCATTAAACAAAAACTAATATGATCATTCAGATGCAATATTAGTTTTTGTTATCAGTATGTATTTATAATAATAATATCCATGATAAATAGTCTCAATTTCCTGTAGTCTTGTTTGAGAAATGTTTTTTTCTCAGCAGCAGCATGTTGTTTAGCAAGTCCTGATGTTTCTTAGACCTATTTGAATATATTATATTTAAAAAAAATATTTATATCACTCCTATGCTTTATTGTAAATCACTGTTGATTTTAGTTAATATTATTTATGTGGATGTACCTAGATAACTTACCAAGATTTGTTAAGAAATAGACATTAGTTTATTTCAGGTCATGTTTATGCCTTCTGAAAGTATTTTTATTTTCTTCTTTTAAAGCCAAAAAAGTGTCTGCATGTTATAGAGGACACTGGATGATGTTCATGAGAAACTTACAGACCGGCATCTGACTCCTGAATAGATTAACTAACTGTAATGTTAGACTGTAATGTTTCTTAAACTGTTCCCAAGTTATTTCAGTACTGATGATGTGTGGTTTGTTTACTGGATAATTATTTATTTTCATGAGGTCTTACCGTGTCAGCAACCATACAAAGCAGTGCACTTGGATGGAATCTGTTAATTGCATATAGATCTGTTTCTAAAAAGTGTTGTTTGTGTTGTTTTACTCTTTTTCAGCAGACTCCAATAGATCAGAACAGTGACAAAACCATTCTTGATGCTGGTTTTGAGCCAGGGAAGAAGAACTTTCTGCATTTGACAGACAAGGATGGTGAGCAGCCTCATGTAATGCAGGTAAAATCTTTACTCAGCTACATAAGCCAGTGTTGTGGGAGATGTGTGTATTCTTTGTAATGCTAGTGTAAGATGAGAACATGAAATAAAACTGTGCTGAGTATTTCATCCTAAGCTTCTTTGAGAACCTTCTCAACAGACTTTTGACTATATTTACATCTATATTCACATTTCTCCTGAGTGGGACCAATTCCATTAGTAATGATTTGCTGTCATTCCATTCATGCTTGTCAATATTAATGTGGTGTTTGCTGCAAGCAATTTTCTAAGGTTATATAATTAATTAATCTTTGACACATTCATAGATAAGTCTTAACAATACATATTTAATCATATATCCAGTCCCTTTCCTCTGGGTGTTTGAAAGCAATGTTAGGCCTTTCTGGCAGAATTCTCAGAAATGGCAGCCCTGCATTGACAGCAGTTAGCTGCTTCCACATTTATGTGTATGGACAAATGAATAAGTAAATAAATATAAAAGAAGAGTTGGCAGTGTTTCTAGAGGCCACTGTTTGCCATAACAAATACTTTGAAATTTTCTGTTTCTCAAATACATGATGCAATATACTCAAATCAAAGATTGGATAGGCTAGTGATATATTAAGTTTTATTACTTAGCTCTTGCATCATCCTAATGCTGGCTTACTTAGCCTTTGTTGGAGAGTTTAATTACGTGAAAAAGGGGAAAAAACCCCGTGTGTAAATAATTGTGCTCAAGATCAGAATTTAATAATGGTTCTGGAAGAGTAATCGAGTGAAATTTGTATGTCTGGAAAAAAACTTACTCTGTATTGTGGTGCAGAAAACTTGAGGCATAGGAGATGCTAAATTGCCAGCTTGCTTGTTGTGTACATTGTAATAGTGTATTTGGATGTGCAGTGTTTCAAAGGACCTGTCCTTCTGCCAATGCTAAGAGCAATGTGTCAAGGGCTTGAGAATTTGGAGGGCAGAACTGAAGTTACACTGTGTATCTGCAATGTTGAAAAAATTGTGTGATGTGCCTAGGAAAATTGGTTTCTTAGCCATGAGAGAAAAGTAACTCTCATAGGTACTTCAGTAAAAATGTGTTGTCTAACTTGTGCATGTGATGAGTGTGTTTGTGTTTCCAGGAGGAGTCAGGTACAACAGAGGATGGTGCACAGGAGAGATTTATAGGTCCCCTTCCAAGAGAAGGCTCCATTGGATGTACCCATGACTATGTCAGTCAAAACTATTCTTATTCTTCAGTCCTGAGCAAATCAGAAACAGGTATTTTGTTCTGTCTTGTAAAGGCAATGTGAGTTTATAATTATTTTAGCACATTTTCACATAGCAGCACCTCAGGATTTTTTTTAATAAATTGCAATTTATTTTAAAAATACCCACATCACTGCTGTATTTTTTATTTATGTATTTTTATTATATTCTCCCATCACGTTAGAAATGGAAGAACTGTGTTCTATGCTTTCCTTATCTGGGACAGGGTAATTCAGACTCTGTCAGGGTCCTTCTTTGCAGTGTTGGTGTGCTGCTCGTGCCTAGTTCGTAGGAAGGGTTGGATCAGCAGAGTGCCCAGCTCCAGCTGTGTTCACTCTCAGCTGAAGGAGGACTGGTCACCCTGTTACTGGAGTGGCTTCTACCACATCTCTGCTTAGCCTAGGAATTCCTGCCAGGGGCTGCAGTTTGCTTTGCCTGGGGGAGGATTCCCCAAGAGGCTCCTCCTGCATCCCCCAGCCAGCAGGGGAGGGGAGGCCCGGGGTTCTGGGGGCTGCTCAGCAGGGCAGGAGGGACAGCAGATTACAGCTGCCAGGAGAGGACAGGTACTGAGCAGCCACAAAGGTGACACTCGTGTTGCACTGCTTCTCTTCTCCTACCTGCCTAAGGCTTTTTGGCAAATAAGGAAGTTTAGCTACCTTTTTTTTTTTCATTTAATAAAACTGACAAGATGATTTATATAGTATAGAGTAATAAATAAAGCACAAATGTTCTAATTCAGTCTCTTCACAGAAAATGCCTGTCTGTGAGGTAGCTGCCTTTTCATTACTTGTATGGTACTGAGATTATTTTATTCAATACTTTTTGGAGTATAAACAGGCATTTTTAATTCCTTGATTACATGATGCTTCAGTATATGCTCCTTGCTTATCAGTTGTTGCTAATATTTTATACTTTGAACAAAATCTTAAAATTGCAGCTTAGATTAATATAGGTAAATAATTTCATTTTCAGCTAGTAAAAATGACAGTGTTTTAGTAGTTCAATTAGTTTTTTTTAATTAGTTATTTAAGGGGGAAGGGTTTACAATAGTAGTGTTGTGTGAGCACTTGGGATTTTTTTTTTTTTTATTATTTCTGATTTGAAAACAATAATAAAACCAGTGCAGATAAAAATTATAGGAACATTATTACTAGGAGACTTTTAGCAGACATAAAGCAGTAAGCAAGTTGATACACAATTGTTTCTTAGAAAATTCTAGTTTATTCTGTAAAATATTTAAATCTGCTATTATTTATAGTTACCTACATCCTCATTAGTGTAGTATTCAGCATTAAATACTGCTTTTTAATGTGATCAGAAAACCAGTTTCATGTCATTCAGGAGAATTATTTTTGTTATATAAACTGTTATTTTCCGTTGCTCTCAGAAAATAAAACATTATAACTATGTAATTTATAGTGTAAATAACAATAAATAACAACAGACAAATGCAGTTCTTAAACACTATCACAGAATTATCTTTTGTAAAGTGTTTTAAGTCTTGAATTAATGTGCCTTTTTTTTGCATTATTGCCATCTCATTATTCTCATATTTTTAGGTTATGTGGGGCTGGTAAATCAAGCAATGACTTGCTACTTGAACAGCCTTCTGCAAACACTTTTCATGACTCCTGAATTTAGAAATGCATTGTATAAGTGAGTATATGGAATCAAAAACTTCTTAAATTTGTGCTGGTTCATATTGGTAGGAGACCCTTTGGAATTTCACCTGTTAAAATTTCCTTTTTTGGGTACTGGAAATCATAATGGAAGTCAAGCTTATATCTGCTTAAAAGCTTCAGCTGTTCAGTAAAATGTGTTGCTGGTTGTGGCATGGACGCTTTTTAAAGAATCTTGAAAACATCAAACTGAAAGTTAAATTTGATGCTAAGTGCAGTTCATGTCTTCAAAATTTTTGGTTTTATGTTTAAACATTTGAAGAGTATCATTGCAATTTACTGCAGAAATGGAAAGCAACTGCATTTGACTTCTCCCAAGAAACAGAGCTGCAGTTAACCTGTGACATGGCAGACCTGAAATGTAGTAAATGTTGATTTAATGCCTTTTTGAGTAATGTTTTCAAAGCAGTTTTATTTGTCAAATATTTTGTGTTCCAAATAGGTGGGAATTTGAGGAATCTGAAGAGGATCCTGAGAGGAGTATCCCCTACCAGCTTCAAAGACTGTTTGTTTTACTGCAGACCAGCAAAAAAAGGGCAATTGAAACGACAGACGTTACACGGAGTTTTGGCTGGGACAGTAGCGAAGGTAATGTGCAGCTGTTAAACTGCTGTGGTTTGCTTCAGCTGCTGCCTGCTAGAGACTGAACTGCTGTTCATGGGGGAAAATACCAGAATTAAGAATAATTAATAGAATCGACTTATTCAATGGAAGCAAAACAGCCCACATGGATACTTTGTTGTGCGGTGTGTTTGATTGTTAAAGAAATGGTATCTGTGAGTTTTAGGCTGTTAAAGTAAAAAGCATTATGTTTTTGTAATTAAACAAAAATAATGACATGAGTCATTACACATATTAGTTGTTTCTGAAAATAATTCTTTATAGGAAACTTGCTTCTGTTTTGAATCACAAATGTCAAATGCCCACATTGCATTTATGGAATTACCCATATTATTGTCTACTTCAAATCAAGCACTGTGCATGTCTTTTTTACACTTGTGTGGTGTAATTTTGCCCATAACCTGTTGATTTTTCCATTAGCACATGGTGATGAGAAGTTGGAAGTTGGATTTTGGAGAATCAGTGCAAAGTGGGACAGAAACCAGAAGCAGTTTGTTTTATACCAGAGCACATTAGCTGTTCTGTATTTTTCATATATTCTTGCTTGTGTACACAGTTCTTGTTTATGTATAAACACAGTGAGCAAGCTGGATGCTTATTTTTCTGGCTTACACTGAGAGGCAGCTGCCTGTGGAATTGAGCACTGGCCCAGTAGTGAATAGGTAGTAGTGTAGGTACACACTTGAACCAACGATTAGTTTTTAGGAAGCATTCTCAGGCTACAGTCAGTATTGGGACTTATAACATCTCCTGTTTTAACTAATAATAACTTCAATTTTTAACAGCATGGCAGCAGCATGATGTGCAGGAGCTTTGTAGAGTCATGTTTGATGCTTTGGAGCAGAAATGGAAGCAAACAGAGCAGGTAAGTTTGGAAAAACTGACTTCATTCAGTGGTGTAGTACTGTGGACATTTGTTGGGTTTTCTGATGATTGTAAAAATCATTTACTAAATTTTATATACCAGCTTCCAGTTTTCTGGTTTGATGCGATAGTTAAGCTACTGTGATGTATGACTTTCAAGAGTGTGTTGCATCTGTTTTCTTTCCCCAGTTAAAAGTGGAATATTCTGCACTCTGGAATATTGTACTCAGTCTTTATTTGAAACACAGAAGGTGATTGTGTAACTTGCACAATAACTTCCTTGCTGTCAGTATTTATTAGGCTTTGTTGTGACCTCTTGAAGCTCAAGCTCTCCCTTCTTAAGGCAGGAGAAAGTTAAGAATATATTCCTGGCACAGGATACATTCTGATAAATGGCCACCTTCTTGCAGGCCAGTTTTGGTAAATAGGAGTAATTGGTAAATTGTCTCTGGAAACACAGGAAAGGACTGCAGGGTCAGTCTGTTAACAATGTCTGCAAGATCAGGCTCATTTTAAAATTCAATTTGGTGCTTTTGTAGTCACTTGAGACATGCCTGTAAAGGACACTGAAACTTATGTAACATGATTTGAGAAGCATGTTTGATACATGTTTTGGGCAGGGGAAAGTAAGAAGTCAGGGGATGGATGTCCTGCTGGGGAATGGTATTTTAAATGTGTAGCCATGCAATTAAGACTTAATTGACAAAAAGGTATTTTCTTGTAAAACCAAAGAAATGGGGTATTGGTCATTTTTTTAAAATCCCTGTTGCTGCAATTGTTTGTTTCAGGCTGATCTTATAAATCAACTGTACCAAGGCAAGCTGAAGGACTATGTGAGGTGCCTGGAGTGTGGCTATGAAGGCTGGAGAATTGACACGTACCTGGATATCCCTCTGGTCATCCGGCCCTATGGCTCCAGCCAGGCGTTTGCTAGCGTGGTGTGTACTATTATGGTCCTAATAGTGCATCCATACACACATAGAATACATAATGCCCCAGTGGTAGAATTGGTTCCCTGGTAAGTATCATCCTAGATACTCCATCTTGGGGTGTTCGTCTTTGTGCAGTCAACCAGCTAGCAAGTTCTAGAAGATTTTTCTTTTTTTTTTTTGGCTTTTTGGTTTATTTTTTGTTTTGGTTTTTTTTTCTTTTGCCCTTCAATGAGTCCTACTGGTGCATGTATAAGGGGAGGGGAAATGCAACTTTATTGCCTTAGGGCTGCAGTAATCAGTTATTTTCTTCCTGATAAAATCTTCAGCATTTACTTGAGAGATTTTTATGACATCACAAAGTTTTATTTGGGTTGTTTTTTTTACTGGCACATTGCTAAATTTTCATAGCCTTATTGAAAGTGTTAGTGAAAGAACAGAACATTGATATAAAATTTTTACTTTAATTGCCATGTTGTTACTGTACTGTGCTAAAGATCACTTTTTAGATACCATATCCTTTTAATAAGCAGTTTGATGATGATTCAAAAATCCTGTTCTGCATCAAAGTTTGTAGTCTCTTTTGCTCCAGCTTTACTGATGCTGGCAAGCATAATTATTGCTTAAATTAAAAGCAAAAAAATTACAAACTGAAATTCCATAGTACATTATGAATGGAGTTGTGAGAAAGAATAAGAATAAATCAAATGAGGCTTTCAGTAAAGGTTGTTTTAAACAAACACTTGTGTAATTGGCTTGTTTATTAAACATCAAGTATTTTTCCTTCTGTATTTAGTGTGGTGGCTATATTGTTAAAGCACTAGTGGTCCATAATTCTTAACAGTAATTCTGTTAAGAATTGGTAGAATTAACTTAAATGCAGTATAGCTTCAAAGTACTTCATACTTTGAAACTTTAAATACCAATCTTGAGAAGTAGTAAAGGTGAGGGACATTGATCTTGGAAAAAGAATTCATGTTAGTAACGTCCTTCGAATTCTTTTTAAGATTGAATGAAAATTTTCTGGAACTGTCCAGCTAATTGAAGCTGTCTTATTACAGATTGATATTTTATACAGATAGCTTCCCTTTTAACCTTTAACTCTAATTTCTAGCAGTATTTCCTGAACTAAATTTTATTCAATAATTTTTATTGAATAATTAGATTTTTATTATCTATTAAAAGTAATGAAAACTATTCAGTTCATGTAGTTTAATTCTGCATTTATCAATGCATTTTTTGTCTCAAATGGAAAGCTTTTTTCTTTAGTGGACAAGTCTGTAGTGTAATGCTAAAAAAAGACTTTGTCTATTAGTAAAAACAGAAAACTTAAATGAACGAGGACTTAAAGATCAGATTACTTTTGTTAGTATATGATATTTTTCTTTCAGTCAGCATTTACTGCATTTACTACATTGAGGAAAGTAGTTTTAAGATTTTTGTTACACAAACTTACATGGTTGCTACTTGCATTGGTACTTCAATTTTTGAGCTTTTTCAATTCCTATTCTGAATACATTCAGTTGATTCTCCTCCCTGCATATGTATGATCAATAGCAGATGTAATTTTTAGTTCTGTAGTCTTCAGCAGTGGGGAGATATGGAGGATACTTGCTTTTGGAGAAGGGAAAAATCGCCTGTTTCTAAATGGAATTCTCTGAAGGTAGTATCCTCCATTGATCCATAGTTTATGTGATTTAGTAGGTGTAGGTAAAAGGGTCTGAGAGATCAAAAACTTCACACATGCGCTAATAGGGCTTATGGAAGGGAATGTAAAACTTTTTAGACCTTGCTAGTCAGCTCCTGAGGGAACTTGCAGCAGGCGACACAACCCAAGATAGGGGATCTAAGGAGGATACTACCTTCAAAGAACTCTAGTTAGAGGTAAGTGATTTTCCATTACTTTTGAATAAGAGAGAATGGATGGATGAGCCTTGAATAAGGTTAATCTGTAGAATGCCATTTAAAGAGTGTTATTCCACTGTTTGTCATGGTGTATTACCAAAGAAATGAAGGTACTTGAAATGTTGCATTAATTTATATGTGTATAATTTCTCAATACACGGGGATATTGAAGAACTGGGAAGGGTAATGTCATGCTTTCTTTATTTCCTACTATGAACCAATTCTGAAATTCTTCAATATGGTCTTAAGGTTTGCATTTGGAATTCTTCTGATTCCCTACTCTATCCCCCAACTCCACGTAGCATTGCTACAAGCTCACTAGGGCAGCTCTGGGGCATTGAGATGTTGTCAGTGTGTGACTCAAGATGGTTTCTGAAAAAACACTTACATAATCTGCATTGTTTAAGGGTAAGGTGTCAAAAAACCTCTGAATCAGGCTTTCTTGAGGTCAGTAGAAATTCAGGCGTAAAAACATTTGGCTTATTTCAGGGAGGCAAACAGGAGGCAGCAACTCACATTCTGATTTTTGTAGTAACTCGCATCTTTTGTATAGATGCCTGAATTTAACAGCACTAGGCATAAACTGAAATATTTTGTAGTAAAAAAAAATATTTTGCAGGATGAACAGTGGAGAGAAAGACACAACTGGGAACTAGCAGTGATGCTGAAATTATGCTACTAAAACAGTTACAGTTGATTCATAATACCAGAAAACTAGTAATAATCCAAGTATTCTGGAGGTGGAGCAAATGCAGTTGTGTTTTGTTAAGTATTGTTAGTTTTAAAGATCTTTTGTACCATAGCTTTTCTTTTGAGAGTGAAGTACAAGTAGTCCTTCTTAGGGCAGAAATTTGAGGCAATCTTAGGGCAGTTTGAACTTTATGTGAACTTACTTTGTGATGTCCTTGCCAAACTGTTGAAGGCAGAATATGGATGATGTGATAATTCCTTTTTGTTTTTAAGGCTAGATCAGTAACAACGAGGTCTTGTATTTTTCATTGAACATAGTCTTTGAACACAGGAAATCTGATGAGCTCTGAAAACCTGAGATGGCAGTTAGTTTCTAGCTTTTTCCAACAGCAGTTTTGCCTAAATGCCATTTGTTGTGTAAGGTTTCGTAAAGGTCCTACTGCTCCTACTCATAGGTTTTAGAAATTTACACATTTACAAATGCTTACAGTATAGCATTGTCAAACTACTGTCTAGATCATAATGCATTATTATGGAGGGGAAAATTCTCTGCAGTGCCTCTCTTAAGCCAGGCAATAATTAGGTGGAATTGTTTCAGCATTTTACTGTGCTAAGTGATAGAAATTTCAGAATATTAAAAACTGAATACACTCAGAACTTGGCTGGACAAGGCTCTGAGCAATATGCATAAAGTTTGACTGGATTTGAGCAATGGATTAGGATCAGATGATCTCCAGAAATTTCTGTTAGCCTGTACTGTTCTTTTGATTCTTTGAACTAGAAAGAAGTTCAAATAGCTTTTGTCATCCTAATCTGTAGCTTGATGACATAGGCTTTATTTTGAAGTGTGTGTGTAGGGGATTTTGGAAATGCTCAGTAACTCCAAGGGTAGAGAACAGCTGCCACTTTGGAGGTAACTCCTAAGGTGACACTGGCTTCTGGTGGCGCTCCAGGGCAGAGGGGTTGTGCTGTGATAGGCTATGCAGCTTGGCAGCTGTGTCCCTGGTTTTGCTAACTAAACTGTCAGAGCAGAGGGCAGTGAACTACACTAGAATAGGAATTGTATTAAGAAACCTCCTAAGTTTCATGTAAAGATTATGTAAGAGGCAAGAGAGTCAGCCTGGGGAACAGCAATGGTCGTTATCCAAGGATTGAAAAATACATGGCTATCTATATATCTCAGAATTAATGGAGGTCCCAAAAGCTTCAGTCAGGCCTTTCAAAGCACAGCTCACTATGTGTGCTAAGCAGTGAAACCTCAAGAGTGATGTAATAATGCTTCATTGCCTTCTCAAGAGTCTAAAGCATCATCACTTCTTGCATTATGTAAAAATTTGTAGGGTGTTTCCTTGTTAAATTGCACATCACATGAGTCTACATAAGCATTATATAATATTTTTTGTCCTATCCTCCATATATTCCCATTTATATTCATGCTGATACATGAGCTGAAACTTTTTTCTTACACTTGAAATAGATTTTCAGTGCCTTAACTGGCATTTGGCTCACAAGAGACTCCTGTTACTGATTATGATGTCATTATGTGATGGTTTCTGATTCGTGTTTTCTGTGTTGGCCATTAGCTTTTTTGCTTTCACTGAAATAATTGTGAATTGTCAAAATACAGCAATGCATTTCTTCTACTTTCTTTTTAAGCAGGTTCTAACTAGTTTAGTGTTTTTTCTGACATTTTTGAATGAAATTCCTCACATTTCAGTATATAATCTTACTAAACATTAGCTGTCTTTGGCCCTGGAGTAAAAAGCAACTCATCCTCTGTAGCATTTAGGAAGTAAAGACACAGAGAGCAGTTCAATTCAGACTCTAAGAAGTTTTCACGTGTCTGGAGAGTCTCCGCCCAAGAGCTGTGATTTCAGGGCTGTTCAAAGGCCTTTTTGGCTGGCTCAAAAAATGGGCAATTGAGATGACTGCCTTCACTGTACAGTTGTTCTAGAGTTTGGCAGGTCTTTCATTTGCAAATAGTTGTCACCTGGAATAGAGTCCATTTTTTAAAAGTCCTTTCTTCTAGAACAGCAGCAGAGCTTTTGGAAAATACTTGCTTTGTTATTCTTGCTGCTTGCCTCCGTTCTTAGGAAGAAAGAAGGGAGGAGGGAAGAATTGAGGGCTGTGGATTGCCAAACAACACAATTTAGATACCAGTCTTTGCCAGCCGTGTTATGACTGCTGAGTTTACACTGCCCAGTTAAGTCCCTTCTTGCTTATTCAGACTTCAGGGGAGCAGCCACAGACCTTCATTAACAGATGATGATTTTAAAAATGTTGTTGCAAGTTGTATTTCTTTTCACCTCCATGAGTGAAGAGAGAACTTCTGGCTTCTGCTTGGAGTTCAGAAACCTGGAGCCTTTTGGCTTGCAAGCTGACTGTGTCATAAGTTTTAACTTTGAAAATCTCTAGGTAAAATTCTTCAGTGAACCCGTCTCAATACTTGTAGTGAATTATATTTGAACAAGTTTGTTCTCAAGTATTTGCACCTTAATGTGCAGTGTCATTGCTGCAGATTGTGTTAGGGAGAGGAATAATGATCAGTTTGGTTGTATTTTGAATACTGATTGCTGTAGTGAGGAGCAGAATAGAAATCATTGTAGTCCTGGATGTAGGCATTAGTGATGGAACTTGTGGGGTTTTTTGAACTACCCCAAACTAGGCAGCTGCCAGAAGACAAAACTCCAGTTTCTGTTTAGTTGCCTCATGAGGTTTAGCTAGGAAACTACTTCTGTCTTTATAGGAGATGGCCATATCTGATTCTCACTCCTTCTGGAGCAAAACTCAAAAACTCTTCCTCTGTCCTTTCTCCAGCTTTCACTTAAAAATAGTATCTTCAGATGTAGTTTCCTAAGACCCTTGGTAGAACAGGACTAAGGCTATCTTCATGCAGGGCACTGAGATCCTGAGTAACAAGTTTTTTCTGTCACTTTCTCTTTTTCCCTCTAAATACCAGATTGGATCTCTTGAGAAAAACTCCTTTAGAAATGCAGAAGAACCATCTCAAAATTCTGGGAGAGCAAGGACAAGGCAGGGTTTAAAAATAAGCTCATTTTCACAGCAGATGACTTTACAGACTGTCGCTACTGAGTAAGAAAGTGGCACGGACTCCAAGAAGGCTGCTTTGCGCAACTGCAACTTTAATGCAAACTACTGTTCTCTTTATAGACTGTTCCGATACATTCCACCTGATTGGCTAATTAACAAAAACACTTTTCTCACAAACAATCCTTGAGAAGAACAGAAAAACAAAGAGTAGAAAAACACCACCTGCAGGTTGTTTACAGTAACAAGCTGTCATCGTTTCTCTACAACTCCCTAAAAGTCTCCCAAGTCTACTGTGAGAAAACTTATCTCCTTTTCTCACTCTCTGACCAGGATGTCACATCCACAACAGACATGACTAAATGTGATGTGCAAGGTTACAGGAGTATATATAACTATTGAACCAAAGACAGTTGAGATTCATCAAATACTGAATGAGATACAGTTAACAGAAATTGTGGTTTTACTGTTTACCTCGGGCTGGATAGAAAGGTTGATTTCTGGTCACATTTACCTGAATATTGTGTCTGTACCAAAGTTTGTCAATCAAATTTTGGGGGTAGATTTAAATGAATTATTTGTATGTGTTTGTAATCTTATTGTAAATTTATACCTGTGTAGTAAACACTCTTTAAAAATGGGGTAACGTGTTTTTATTCTTAGGAAGAAGCGCTGCATGCTTTCATTCAGCCTGAGATCCTTGATGGCCCAAATCAGTACTTTTGTGAGCGATGTAAGAAGAAATGTGATGCAAGGAAGGTAAAGACTGGTCAAATGATTTGTAAAAATTACTTTTAATAAATACCAATCCTGATAATAGGGACATAATCTTGTCCTTGTTTCATTTAGGGTCTGCGGTTCTTGCACTTTCCGTACCTGCTGACTTTACAGCTGAAGAGATTTGACTTTGATTACACCACAATGCACAGAATTAAACTCAATGATCGCATGACTTTTCCAGAGGAGTTGGACATGAGTGTCTTTATTGATGTTGAAGATGAGGTAAAGTATTTGCTGTCAGAGAAAAGCATTTAGCTTCCTTCAAGTTTCTCATTCAGAAAGTCAAAATTCCAGTCTTATAAACCCATTTTAACAACATTATTCATCTACATAAAATGTTCTTTAGCCATGCTAGTGCTGTAATTTGAAGATTTTAAATCTGTCCATGTGGATTTTTTTTTTAAATAATGTAAACAAACATGTTCTCTGTAGTTGGGGTTCCAGCTTCCATAAAGAAGCTGTTTCAGATTTCTTACATCTTCAGTCGACAAATTTAAAGACATTATTCTCAGGGCTTCTACATATATATGCAGTTCCAGAAGGGAAGATTTATCTGAATCATGTTGGTCATAAGAGGTGATGTAAATTTTCAAAACTCAGTTCACTGATGTTAGTCCAGAACTCATTAGTAATGAATTCCTTCCTCTGAATCACCATGTGGCGTATACTGTAGAAATAAGATTTTTAAAATTTTTTTTTTTTCCCATCAGTCTTCTGGCTTTTTACTTTTTGTGTTTTCACCAAAATTCATGTTGTGCAGTTATATTCACCAAGAGGTATTTACTGTGCGTTTTGCATTGAAGACCAAAGTAATTCCTCTTATTTAATTCCTGATAATGTTTGTTGGCTTGCACTGTTACAAGAGAAATACCACCTGGATGTGCGTATGGAGAGGCTTTTCTGGCTCTCTGCAAACCCCTGTCTTAGGAAGGATGCCATGTAGACAATTCGATACCTCTCAGAGTGAGTGGGATAAATGACAATGAAGATTGATCTGGGAGAATAGAACTCAGATAAAATTAAGGACTGTCAGAAAATCAAAACAATTATCTAGAGGCAAGGGGATCTGGTAAGCAATGAATGTACTGAGTGAGCTGCATTCATAGTGTTGGTGACACCGTGCTGTTAAGCTAGCAGAATATAATATAACATAATCAATCTTACTGTAATACCTTGGCTCGGTCCAGTGAGTTGAAATGGAAAAAAAAGTCTTTGATTGTGACTGAAAGTATTTTCAGTCGATTCTGATTAACAGGGCCACGTTACAACCGATCTGTTGTTTGGTATCAGAGTTCCAGGTACTGAATTGGGATAGCTAGTGCATGGAATTGGCTAGTAATAAATATAACCCAAGTCTGAAAGCTCCTAATTCTGCTGTTCAGTTGCACATAAAGTCCAGGAGTACTGAAGAGGTGGACTGAAGACACCAACAGAAACAAGTCTGTTCTTGGTGCTGAATTGCAGAGGTCTCTAGTTTTTTTGAATTATTTAATTGGTTCACTGAGTGGATTTTTTTATTTCACAAACACTGTTATTTCTTGTTCTATGTAATTTTTATTTTGTATAATGTTTGTGTGTGTGTCTTACTTTTAAGAAGTCTCCTCAGACCGAGAGTTGCACTGATAGTGGAGCTGAAAATGAAGGCAGTTGTCACAGTGATCAGATGAGCAATGATTTTTCTAATGATGATGGAGTTGATGAAGGAATCTGCCTTGAAAGCAATAGTGCAGCAGAGAGGATCTCTAAAACTGGCAGTGAAAAGGTATGGTAACACTGGGGTGTTAGAAGGGTGGGTAGGAGGGACAGAGCTGTAAAGACTGGCCTGGATTCACCACCAGGATATTCCATGCCAGATTCCCTGCTGCACAGCATCATGCTCAGCAGGAAAAACTGAGGGCTTTCCAAGGTTGCTGTTGTTCAGAGACTGGCTGGGCATTGATCTTTTGGGTGGGGGTGAGGGAGTGTGCTGAGTAATGCCTTTGCATCACTGCACTATGCTTTTTTTTTTGTTTTGTTTTGTTTCCTTTATCTGTTAAACTGTCATTGTCTCCAACCACAAATGTTCCCACTTTTGCTCTTCTGTTTTCTTCACCATCCTACTTGAGGGGGGTAGTGACTGGCTGGAGGAATGCTTTGTTCTTTGCTAGGGTCTACTCACCACAAATGTAAATGATAAAAATGTAATTAATTCTAACATTGGAGGTGAGAGGTTGGGAGTGTGTGAGTTTATTTCAATTTTCAAAAATTGACATTACAACAAAGGAAAAAATTCAGCTGATTTGGAGGTCACCTAAGAATAAAGGTCTTCCCAGCTTGTCAGACTGAGAATTTCCAGTAACTTGTTTTGGCAGCAGACCCTTAAACAGAAGACCTGTTTTGCCTTGTGAGCAGTGGTTTTACTTGTGGCCAGCTGTCAAAGGTCTACCAGATTGAGCTGGAAAAACATCTTGCAGAGTAGTAGGAGCAGATTGGGAAGTTTTGATCAGTGTTATAGGGGAAGCCAAGGGTTTAAATGTTAAATATTCCTTCAGTCATCTAAATATAAAGGAATTAAATAGCAACTCAGTCCAGGATAGCAGCCATCCTGCTGTGGGACATCAAGGTTGGTAGAGATGCTGATAAACTTGGCGCAGTTTTCATCAAAAATTTTAAACTTTATGATAATGTGTACAGTTATGTACTTCATATATTGTTGTTCAGTGGACTCATCTGAAATTAGGCCAGTAGCTTTCATTCAGCCTTGGTAGGAAGCTGTTTGGCTTCAGCTGGTACTTTTGCAAAGTAACAGTTTTAAAGGCTGACTTGCATGTTAATCTGCACATGTGGTCCTGTTTGTATGTACCTTGAACCACTTGAGAGGGTTTTTTTGGTATATGTTCTAAATACTGTCAGTCTTGGTTGGAAATGATGAAAAAATTAATTCTAGTCACTTGACTGGAACAAGACCAGAATATTTTAATGTCTCTGTAATGCAAGTGGGACGGCCAAGTATTGACAGTAGCTTTGGCCAGCTATTTCATACTGCTTGTTCTCCAGGCAAATAAGCTGTCAAGCCAAGCTTTTTGGTTTGGATATCTTAATAATGGATGTAGGATATGTTGAGAACGTACAGTGTTTCTTGTGCATAGTCTAAAAATATCCTTGTAACACTTGTGAGTCAGTATGGTTCAGTTTTATTTTTTAATTTATATGCAGCACTGAAGGCATGTGCTTAGTGCCCTGTATTTCCATCCATTTATCTATGAAAAAAGAAGGGTATGACATCGAATGTGGAGAAGGGTGATAGCAAATAGACCTAAGCTTTGTAGCTACAAACTCCTAAGTAAAGTTTAGCATAGCAGAGCTCTGGTTTTGTTCAATACCTATTGCATTAATTAATTTCTATTACACAAATCCACTCTTTGCATCCAACTATTTACATACCTGGGTTTGGGTCCTTATTTTAAAACTTTTTTAAATTACCATTTGCTTAGCTTTTCTTCACTGGATACATTTCACACCTTTTTCTTCTCTCCACAGAGTTCTTTGCTATATGAGCTCTTTTCTGTCATGGTTCATTCTGGAAGTGCTGCTGGTGGCCATTATTATGCCTGTATAAAATCTTTTAGTGATGATCAGTGGTACAGCTTTAATGATCAGCACGTTAGCAAGGTAAAAATAGTATTTTTAAATATTTTTTGTACTCATAAATGGACCACTAAGTTTTTGTTTTGTGGTTTTCCACTTAGCTGCCCATAAGACCAGTTTCATTATAAGTATTTCAAGTAGTTCCTTGATTTCATACTCTCATACTAATGTCCTGCCATATACATTTGTTTCACTCATTAGCTTAACTGATTTCTAGGGGTTGGAGAGTTTTTATTTATGTATCTGTGTATCTTTGTGTGGTGGGGAAAAGAGTGTTTCTCCTTGGCAGTGATGGTGGGATGATTCCTAAAGAAGCCTTCATTCATATACAGACCAGGCCGTATTTTGAATTTTGTCTTCTGTACACGTGAAGAACATTTCTTGCTTAGAGAAGTGTTTGCAGATCTGTTACAGTCCAGACTGTGCTGTTAAACCTGTCCAGCTGATGGAGGTGTTCCACCTATCGTCCCTAGGTACTATTGCAATCAGGAACCTGTATCTTTTTCCTCTGAGAAGTTCCTACTTTAAAAACTAAAAATGTATGTTTGCATTCATTGTAAAATGGAGAAGCAAATCACTTTGATATTGTTTTGGAAGTCAGTAAATAAGCAGAAATATTTTTATAATTGGAATTATTAATATAGTGTGTTGTGTAATGCCATGTTTCCTAGTGAGAATAAATACATCTCGATGAGTGCAAGTTTCTCAAATAATCATTACATTGATTTTCTGTTAGATAACTCAGGAAGATATTAAGAAAACATATGGAGGATCTTCTGGAAGCAGAGGATATTATTCCAGTGCTTTTGCTAGGTTAGTATTACTGTAATGTTACTTTTCTTTCCGGTAGTGTTTTAGTGTAATGAAGTCAATGGCCAAGGTGCGTATGCCTAACATGTTACCTTAAAATTATTAGTAGATGCTTCAGATAGATGTAAGAGCTACCCTGACTGTTGTTTCAAATCATTAAAATAATGATAGTTATTTTTGAAAATCCTTCTTGGTTTGTGTATTACTGAGATATGGTATAGCTCCTTACTGAAAGATAAAGAAACCAGAGCAGCTTCTGATGCCAGTATTGTCTCCTGAGTGGTAAATTCAGCTGTCTCTTCTCTTCCCCCAGCTCCACAAATGCTTACATGCTGATATACAGACTGAAAGATCCAACAAGAAATGCAAGTAAGTTCAACAGCTGTATTTGCAAAAGTTGGGTTTTTTTTAAACTTAAGTGTTGCATGTTGTGGGTTTGTTTGTTGTTATGAAACAGTGTCATAAAGTACACTAATCTGCATGAAGTGCAGTATTTATTTTATCACAGTATAGATGATATCTTGAGACTTTGATTATCAACTAATTCACTTTCTGGAAGAATATTTGCATTTATTGTACAAACAGAATTAAGTGCAGTCATCAGCTTTAGTGTATTTCTCTACTACAGCAAGGCTTTGTGTACTGATACTGAAATCTTTTCCTATTATCACTTTCTTGTGTTGCTGATAACATAAGCAAGGGGAATAAGAAGTTGACTTCTGTTTAATTTAAATAATGAGAAAGATAACAGGTTATGGTATAGTGGGAAGTTTGTGTGGAAAAAGAACGGGGTGAAAAGGCAAGAAAGGTAACTCAAATATACCTGTAATGCCTAAAGGGGGAAATGTAATGCCTGCTGTGGAAAGCTGTATTTTTTTTTAAACTGTTGCTTTGTTTTTACTGGCAGAGTTTCTGGAGGCACATGAATATCCAGAGCACATTAAACAATTGGTACAGAAAGAGAGAGAATTAGAAGAACAAGAAAAGAGGCAACGTGAAATTGAACGCAACACGTGCAAGGTTAGAATTTCTGCTGGACTGAGTAACAATACATTGCTAGTGGGAATGTTTCTACAGTAAACAGTGTTTTTTTACTACAATACAAGGACTCCTTTGTGATAAATGTTTGCACTAACAACTCTTTTAAATGAATTGAAAACCTGTTGGAAAACTGTACATAGTGCAGGCATCTCTTAGTGGTATTCACCAGACATTTTTGTTGAATTCATGTATTGCATGTGGATTTGAATTGGTATTAAATCCAAAACAACTTATCACTTATTTTAAACAAAATTACTTCCAAAGAATGTGTAATGCTGCACATTGTGTTTTGTACTGTTTTCATTTTGTGGCCCTTGACTTTGTGCAATGGTGTTTCTTAAACTAATTCTAAATAGTTACTTGGCAGAAAGAGCAGAATATTTTCCAACCCTAGATTCAATAGTAACAAACAAAATAGGACCTCAGTGCCTTACAAGTATGGCAGTCAGCTGCTCTATCTATAAATCAAGTGATTGTTTTATGAGGAAGTTCTCTCATTGCAAAATGTGTAACTCTCTGTGTGAAAAAGGAATTTCACATTCATTGTTCATATGTACATTTTGCTTTGGAGCATTTGCTCGCTGCCTGTGCCTACAAGATGTTCTGGTTATAGAAGCTGAACCCTAGCTGGGAGAAAGATTCAGATACACACATAGACCTCATGTGCCTTTGACATATTCTGTCTGCAGTTGTGTAACCAGCTGAAAGGAAACCACCCCACAGCTGAAGCAGAGCTAAAGGTGCATTTCATATTAAGTTGCTTGAATATTGTGTTTCCAGCTTAAATGGAAAGACAGTTGAAAATGCCTTCATGACAATTTTTCTTCCTTTTGTATTTCATAGATTAAATTATTCTGCATGCATCCTACAAAGCAAATAATGATGGAGAACAAATTGGAAGTTCATAAGGACAGAACACTGAAGGAAGCTGTGGAAATGGCTTACAAGGTATGTCACATGTAACAGGATAATAAAATTGTTTAATGTAGTGCTTTTTGCTTTGTGTCTTCAGTTTTTAAATTTGTAATACTGTGGGAGTGTTTGAGAGGTCTTGGCTGTGGGGTTTTTTTGGGGGGTGGGTTTTGGGGGCTGATTCTTGGGAAGTTCTGTATGATGGAATTTTTTGTTCTGTTTTTTTTTAAAGGTGTTCTAGTTTGCTATTATTGACTAAGTTTCTGCCTGTAGCCATCAGCTGATTGTTGATTGGAGTGATGCAGCCTGCCCTTGTAAAAGACAGTATGATCTGGCATACCCTTATTTTAAAATCAGACAGTGAGAGCTACTGTTAAACTCACCATGGCCTCAGCAAATTGAAAGAATTCTGCACTTTTATTGGCATTGCAGTAAAAACCTTGTATTAGGTATATAATGACAGAGTTCTTGAGAATCTTTCTGGGTAGCTAATTCAGTATCAGGAGTGAACACCAAGGCATCTGTTGATCTCTGCATTCCTCAAACAGGTGGGAGCTGAAGACATCAATTCTTGCTCACCTACTTGTATTCTTTGGTTCTTGCTGTGTATGTTTTTGGCTAGGAGAGCACCAGCAAGGTACTTACATATTTGGGATATGCTAGCATCTCCTTGAGATGCACAGAGGGTAATTAGTGTATGTGACTTCCCTCAGGCCTCTAAGATGCCTTCTGGTATAAGTGATAGGCAATGTATTCCTCTGAAAATAGTTCTGGGACCTGTCTTCATGTGCCTCTGTACATACTTTTCACAATTCCCTATTGTCATGGTTTGACACTGGCACAATGCCAGTGCCTCCCATGAAAATGCAATCTCTCAACTGAATGCTGTGAAATGCGATCGAGAGCAGAGCAAAGCAGGCCCAAGCTTAATAACAAGAAAAAAACTTTATTAAACTACTTTCTGCATTTTCATGAAGGCTTCTATTTGAATTTGGAAACATATATATTGCATGTATATATACATATATAACATGTATGTATGTATTGTAAAATATCTGTGATGTGTTTTCTAAAACCAAATTGACTGTTGTGAATTGAAGGGATTCCTGGATGTACACACAGTGAGGTGTTTCTAGCTTGCAAGTTAAGAACTAAGCTCACAAGTAAGCTGTTTCTAATGTTTGGGGGGTTCTGTGTGTGCACATTGTAGTTAATGGATTTAGAAGAGGCTGTTCCATTGAACTGCTGTCGCCTTGTCAAGTATGATGAGTTCCATGACTACTTGGAGCGCTCTTACGAAGGAGAAGAGGATACCCCAATGGGTTTGTTACTTGGAGGGGTCAAGTCAACCTACATGTTTGATTTACTGTTGGAAACAAGAAGGCCTGACCAAATTTTCCAGTGCTATAAACCTGGTGGTAAGACATGTAATTACATATATGCTTTTAGTCTATCTTTATCTATATACTGTGATGGCACAAACACAGAGCTGTAAAACAGCTTCAGTATGAGGTGTTGAAAGAAGAAAACCTAAATTTTACAGTCAATATTCAGAACTACATAATGTACTCTACTGTGCTGCTGACTTGCGTCTAATTGAAGCAGGTCTAAGGTATACTAAAATTTGTCAAACTGGAATGTTTTTTCATTTTTGGCATTAAATTTGATCAGAAAATGTAATTCTGAAATTGGACTGCTTTTCAAGTTCTTACTGTTTGTATTTAATGCAACCCCTAATTATTACATCAGAGAAGCATACATGTGTTTCCTTTTTCTGTTGAATTTTGTCTGTGTACATATGTGATTTCATTTTCTTTTTATTCCTCCCTGCAGAGGTCATGGTAAAGGTTCATGTAGTTGACCTGAAGACTGAATCTGTTGCCCCTCCAATAAGTGTGCGAGCTTATTTGAATCAAACAGTTTCAGAGTTTAAGCAGCTAATTTCAAAGGTAATTTACAGTCCTTATGGACTTGTATTAAAGAGTTTTCATTTGTTGTGAAATGTGAAATGTGTCATAATTTACATACTTAAAATGAGAACTTGCACCTTTTGCAGATCGTGCTATGAGTCCTGTCCAGCAGGGTTCTGTTAGATGCTACAGTTGAGTTTGTCCACCTGCTCACTCCTGCTGAAAGCAGCAGGTTGCTTCTTGCTTCCATCCAGTGTTAGTATCTTTAAAAACCTCACTGAGAGTCCAGGTGGTGACACAACCAATGAACTGTTACCACAACTGAACCAAAGTGTAATTTCCCCCCAGCTTTAGTATTTGACACCTAACATCCAAAGCTGTCCATGTTCTTTGTGCAGTCTCTCCTTTTCATCCCAGTAGCCACTTGTTACCAAGATGCAAATTGATTTTTACATGGTTTGAAACCAAGGCATGTTACTGCTTCCATTGCATTGGAATACGGAGATTGCATTTGCTCATTTCTGTGCACAATAATGCAGTAGTTGGTGTAACTCATAATATTTGTTATAAAATATGATTCCAGAAATTTGAGTTCCGTCTAAGAATTAAGTGAGCACTGTGCAAAACCTGTTGTTCAGGAATATTTTTAATTTTCAGTTGGTTCATTAATTAAAGGTAGGACCATTGTCATAAATGATTTTTCAGTTCTCTGCAAAGCCAGGCCATTTTATGCATCTGACTTTTTAGAAAAACTGACACTTGCTGCATATTAAAGGGTGGAGGAAAGGCACTGCGACTGAGCAGGTTTGGGAGGTTCCCCCCGTGTTCTTTTTTGCAATTTTGAAGTTGATCAACAAACCTTCTGCTTTCCCAGTGAATAATCCCAGAAATGAAGCACTATTTTTAGTTTTAAGGTATGTCTGATGAGCTTGTTATCTCCCTATCCTGTCCTGTTTTAGGCCACACACCTGCCCGCCGAAACCATGCGGGTGGTGCTGGAGAGGTGCTACAATGACCTGCGTCTGCTGAACATGTCCAGCAAAACACTGAAAGCTGAAGGCTTTTTTAGAAGCAACAAGGTACATGTTCTGGTGTTTAAATTGTTCATTCCTTGCGTTTGTGCTTACCTGTTACGTTGTAAAAGACATGGAAGGATGTACGAAATTGATAATGGATAGCTGTCCTGTATTTTGCTCTGTAGTGTGTGGGGTTTCTGTGCCTGGTACAGTGGTGCTCATGAATGCTCTAGGCTATGTATGAAACCAAGTGTACATAAGAGAGAGTGGATTGAGAATCAGACATCTGGCTGTTACTTGGGTTCAGGTGATGCTGAGCTTAACAGCCTTACGAAGAAGACTGTTAATAGTCACGCATTCTTAGGGAACAAAGATTGATATATTGCTATGAAGCCTGCTGGATGTGTTTGCTAAAACCACCTGAACAACTGTACCTGCTCTCAGTGTTATTAAACTTCTTAAAAAACAAGTATCAAAACTAAAAGCAAGTTTTCACTGACTTTCTATCTTAAATTCAGTAGTTTTCACTATGAAGATTCCGCCTGGACAATTTACATTATTTTTTAAAAAAAGACTTCTAATAGATATTTCCAATAATAATTATATAATACATTCAGAAGAAGAGTTACTAAGCACTCAAACAACTTTAAAATTTTAAATGCGTACATTACCCTTTTTTACTACAGTAGAAATAGCCCATCTTCTAGCACATTTTGCACATCCTCTGTCTCTGATGTTGAAGCTCAGTGTAAAATCTTCTTGTTGTAGAAAGATTAAGGAAGGCTTTGATGGCTCACATAGCAGTGAACAGAAGAACAGTGGCACTGAGTTGTTATTCAGTTACTCAGAACCTTTCACAATCAGTGTCGCTACAACATGGAGCCTTTGACAAAGAGAAGAGAGATACTTAATTTGCACTATTGCTTGAACATGTATACATTTAAAACTTCCTTATGACACTGTACTAGAAAGTAAAGACAGTCTGCTGCAGTGGTGGGGTCATTGCTACCATAATGGTGCTATGCACAGGTGAAGGGTGCACATGAAGTGATTTATGAATCCACTTCTGAATGTATTTCCTGCAGCTGGTCAGTTCACTTACAGTGAACTTGCACTTGCACCTTGCTTACATTCACTCTTATCTTAACGTGGTTATGAAGACAGGAAAAATGAAATCATTATTATGCTACAGACTCCTCAGTCTGTCTTTTGCTAAGCATGTATTTTAGCATTTTGATAAAAGGTGATGTTTCTTTATGGCATTATGCCTAATGTGTGCTCAACCCTGTGTTTGCTGTTGTTGCATTTATTTAAAATAACACTACATGATGCAACCCTTCTTTTCTGGTCAGGTGTTTGTTGAAAGCTCAGAGTCTTTGGACCGTCATGTGACATACACAGACTCTCAGCTGTGGAAGCTTTTGGATCGCCATGCGAACACCATCAGACTGTACGTGTCATTGCCAGAGCAAGCTCCTGGATCTCAGCTCAGACGGGCGCTTTATCACAAGTCTGGTGGGGGTGCAGGCAATGTGGATGAACCTTGTGAGAGAGTAAAAGGACCTGTAGGTAATATGAAATCTGTAGAGGCAATTTTGGAAGAAAGTACCGAAAAACTTAAAAGCTTGTCCCTGCAGCAACAGCAGCAGCAGGAGGGAGATAATGGAGACAGCAGCAAAAGCACAGAAGCCAGTGATTTTGAAAACATTGAGTCACCTTTAAATGAAATAGACTCTTCAGCATCAGCAGAAAACAGAGAACTTGACAACCAAATTCAGGTTTCTGATCCAGAGAATCTGCAGTCCGAGGAGCGGTCAGACTCGGATGTCAATAATGACAGGAGTACGAGTTCGGTGGACAGTGACATCCTCAGCTCCAGCCACAGCAGCGACACTTTGTGCAACGTGGACAACGCCCCCCTTCCCCTGGCTAATGGACTGGACTCTCACAGCATCACGAGTAGCAGGCGATCAAAAGCCAATCAGGGCAAGAAGGAAACCTGGGACACAGCAGAAGAGGATTCTGGAACAGACAGTGAATATGATGAAAGTGGCAAGAGCAGAGGAGAAGCACAATATATGTACTTTAAATCAGAACCCTACACTACAGAGGAGGGTTCAGGAGAAGGGCAAAAATGTATGTATTTTTTTTCAAGTGCCTTAAATAATTCTGTGGGTTTTACTACTTAATTCATCTGCTGTGTTAAAAAAGTCTAATGGCAGTATTGAAAAACTTGATTATAATGTCAGATTAAAGCTAATGAAAGTGCAGACAGGATGTGATGTTCAGCAGAAATCTAGCTTTAGTTTGATCTTGTAATAAGTGATTGCATATTTGAAAAGTGTCTTGCTCTTTTGTTTCTAAGAAAATGAACATTTACTTACGTGTATTGATAGTGTTCCCTGGAGATCAAGCTGAGTTGTCTTCTAGTGAAAGGATGTGCTGATGATGATTCACCTGTTTCAGAATGTACTTATTTAATGTGGTTAAAATAGCATATTTCTGTAACCATTTAGGCTAACAAACCTGGAAAGCCTTAGTCATTTGACTGTAAAGAAAATTCAAATATACTTGATATCGACAATTTAATTCACTAATTGAAACAGAGTGGGTACAGTGAGGCATATGGCTGACATGAAAGTGTGCAAACCAGTTCAGTATAAGAGCCTAAGTGGTATATAATTGTCATAAAAAGAAATAATTTCAACAATGCTCTGTACCTGCATGTGCTTTTAACTAACAGAATAATAATAAAAGAATAGCAGGATGTAAGATAAATATTTTCAAAGGAAAAGGCTTTCATGTCAATCCAGAAATGTGATTGTAATAGTAATCGATAAAGAAGAATTTCTCACAGGGAAATTGATTTGTATCTACTAAAGCTTTGATAAAAATAGTCCTTTAACTTGGAATGGTGTTTCTTTGGGGCTAATTCTGAACTGCTTTCATTTTTCCCTGTTTTGGTCAGTCTAGTTGGATTCAGGAGCTAATTGTTTGCAGTAATTTTGATGTTATCATAGTACACTGCATAAATGATTATTCTGAGGGGAAAACTTTTATTTGTTTTTAATATAATTCATATAATTTATTTGTTCACTTCAATATTCTGAATAGTTTATTCTAGAGTGTCATGACATTGCATAATCACAACATACTTTGTAGTGTAGAACAAATTGCATGTATTAAGAAACACCATTTTCTTATTCCCTTTACGTTCCAGAATTTAATGTTATTACATTTTTTCCTTAATTACAACATTATTCTGTGAAACAGTTCCTTAATCTGAATTTGAGCTTGTCTTGTGGTAGCCCGTGGCCTTCCAGAATACAGAATTTACCTTTTTAATGCTGAAAACCAGGAAGGAAAATAGAAGGGGTTGAGTGGCCTGTGTGGCCATTCCCAGCACCCAAGCAATTCCCTGTCCCTCGAGGCAGAGAAAGCTGTAGGAGGATTTAACTGTTGCTCCATGGAATTCTGTTTGTTTTCTTCCTGAACAGACAAGGTACTGCTTTGCTGAGCTACTCACTGAATGCAAACCAGGGCAGTTTGGAACTGTTATGTCCCCCAGAAATATCTGCCCATGAACACTTAAAATACAGCATTTTAAATAAAGCTTTTAGAGGTTATGATAACATCATTAGATAAAATGTAAATGTAGCCATTAACCATACTTCAGGCTTTTCAGTACTGTTTTGCTGCAAGTGCTAACACTGAATATGTGGAAATTGTATGTGAGAGTGCTTTTTTTGTGGTAGCAAGGTGTTTCATACCATTTTTGTTTTTGCTTAGGGCTGATGGTGCATGTTGACAAAAGAATTACACTGTCTGCCTTCAAGCAACACTTGGAGCCTTTTGTTGGAGTTCCATCTTCTCACTTCAAAGTCTTTAGAGTCTATGCCAGCAATCAAGAGTTTGAGAGTGTTCGGCTGAATGAGACCCTTTCGTCATTTTCTGATGACAATAAGGTTATTTAGAAGGTTTTTTTAATCATTGAAAGTATATTGCTACAATATAGATAAAGTTAATTTACAACAGGTGAAATAATTATTTTGGTTTTGGTAGCATGTTACAAAATACAATTCTGATTTTGATACCAGTTCTAACAGATATTCCTTTTACATTCTAGATAACTATTAGACTAGGAAGAGCCCTTAAGAAGGGTGAATACAGAGTTAAAGTCTATCAACTCTTGGTAAATGAGCCTGAGGTAAGGCATTGAATGTTTCAAGGCTGATTCATGAAAATACTAATATGTGCCTTGGCCAAGGTATTGCTTTGAAATCTTGGAAAAAAAATGAAACTCCTTCCTTTCTTCACATTTCTCTGCAAGGGATTTAGAAAGGAAGTTCGAGATTATTTCTTTTCCAAGTAAGCGGTTGGAATGTGATTTACACTATCTCTCAAGTGTCTTTATTTCTGTAATGTAAATGGAGGACAAATAAATTGTTTGTTTCCCTTAAATGTGTGACAGTCACGTAGCATTCTCTCCAAAGAAGAAACTGTGTTTGCTTGTGGCTGTGGTTTTTCAGTGTTGCTGAACTGATCTAATTTATCCCTTTCATGTTCTGCAGATAGTCAGGGAGTTTATCTGGGTAATGGTCCTCTCTGCGTAAGGCAAGCCTGAAACAAAGTGTTTCTCTTGCAGTAAAGCAGCTCATTAAGCTTGTTACATCTTCTGGGACATGAAAAATACAGAAGTGGTTATACAGACTGTATATTGGATAGATTGCAGTCTTTATAAGTTTGTATGCACTTTATTTTTTGGACCAAACTGCAGAATATGTATTAATAATGGATAAGAGACTAAGCTGAACTGCTAAAGCAGGGAATAAGATAAATATAAAAGCTACTGCCATGGACGGAGCTGTGCCTGATCCATGAAAGCCAAGAAAGGGGCATTTTTATGATGATGTGGTTTTTTTAATTTGAAAATTCCATTGTGTGGAATGTGAATGTAACGGTAGCAGCAGCAGTGTTTCTGCACAGGCAGTCAGGGCTGGAGTGCCCTGTCAAAGGGCTGCTGCTACACTAATTAGTTACACCCCATTTTAATGAATTCATTGCCTGCCTTGTTAACGAGAAACCTACTGATCTTTTTGCCACGTGGATGGGACTGGTCACAAAGCATAAACAGAGATACAGTTTTCTGTTCAAAAGAATTCTGTCTTTTATCTCTTTTTATTTATGTTCACAGCCCTGCAAGTTTCTTCTAGATGCAGTTTTTGCTAAAGGAATGACTGTCCGACAGTCCAAAGAGGAGCTGCTTCCTCAGCTTCAAGAACAATGTGGCCTAGACTTGACAATTGACAGGTAAACCTGATGAAATACCATCTTAAAATGTGTTCAGAGATTTCTTTCCTCTTGTGGAGAAAGAAAGTAATGAAAGAAACACAAATAAATCGCTGAGGTCATTGAATCAGTTTGTGAATGCAAACACTAATTCAGGAATTCTTGGCTTTCATCTCACACAGAATGAATTCTATAGGGGATAATATTTACATAGAATTGCCTGTGTGCAGCATGTCTGCAGCTTTAGATCTCTGTAATGATGATTTCCTTCAGAAAGGGGAACATTAAGTAAATCAATTCTTAAAAGAACCATCTGCTCTCTACATGCAAGCCCAGCACAGATCATTGCAGCAAACTTCTTGTGCAGCATCATCGTGTGTGTGTGTGTGTGTGTACAGCACTGATCTGGGCTGTCTGCCCTTTACCATAACTGGGTAATCCCTGATTAGGAAACAGTTTTCTTCCTTTAAATCCCTACATATTTCCTGCATTGAACAAGTGGAATACAGACTTATTTCCCTTGTGTCTATGAATGATTCAGCACTAAGCCAGCAGTGACATCCTGCTGTCAGGACTGTTTCTGAACATTAAACTTGTTCCTACTAAACTTCCCCAAGTCTTGAATCATTGAGTTGTAGTATTTCAGTTGTGATCTCTGCCAGTGCTAGGTGTTCATAAGCAGATAGAAACTCACTGGGTTTTTTTGTGATGTATTTATAGGTTTCGCCTACGAAAGAAAACCTGGAAGAATCCAGGTACTGTGTTTCTGGATTATCATATCTATGAAGAAGATATCAATATTTCCAGCAACTGGGAGGTCTTCTTAGAAATACTTGATGGTAATGATTTATTTTTAAATTATTATTGGTGATGACTAAGTAGCTGCAATATGTGCATGCAGATGCATAATGCATTTGTATAATTTAAGTCGGCACAGCAGTTCAGTCATTTATTAGTTTTCAGATAGGATTGAAAATACTTCTGTCATGAAGGAATTTGGAAAAGAAACTTCTGTTCATCAAAACAATTTTGGAATCAAATATTAGAGAGCAGAATGTTTCTGAAATTCTGCTTAAATGTAATTTAAATTATGCCATTTTTAAGCATTTCTTTGCATATACACTTGAAATTTTGATTCTGTATTCAAAAGTGTAATTTAAGGGTAAGAAAAGTAGGCCATGCTCTTTGGCCTCTACATTAACAGATACTGAAGTTAGTGTATAGATGAGGAATGTGAATTCCATTCACTCAGGAATTTTCTTCCCAAGCATATCTGGTTTTAGAAGTCTCACTTAGCTATTAGTCAAGTATTTTGGCAGCTGTGTTCAATTCTGGTATTTTCAGTTTTAACAAAATTGTGCCAATGAAAATATCAAAATTTGAAATGCACCTGAGAGATTCAGGAAGCCTTCAGATTCCTATGGGCATATGTGTCAGCTCCCACTGTAGTTCAAACTTTACAGTTTAAAATTTTTATTAGATTTAGATAACTGATGTACTGTTTCTGTAGTGAGTAGGTCTTGGAGATAGAGCTTTAGACACTGCAGCCCATCTAACTCACAGACAGATTATAGATTACAGGGCTTCCAAGTTCTGCAACAGTTTCGTGCAAAACAAGCATGTAATGTTAGACATAAATGTCTAAGCCACATGTTCTGTATGCTAGATGATAAAGTTATAGACTAATTAAAAATAAAAAATAAATCATCCCTTAGATAACACTTCTGCTTATCTAATTGTAATATAAACAACAGTGCTCTATCAGCCAGAGACCGTTCTGAAACCTGGAACAAGGTGTAAAAAGGCTGGAGGCAGCACATACTAAAACTCTTGAAGGTGGTGGGTGGAAAGAAGATTTCAATAACAAGTGTGGAGTTGGTGAGGGAAATCTAGAAGTTAAAAGGGAAAAGCTTATTTTGGTAAAGGAGGTGAAGCACATGAATAAATAGCAGATAGCTGAGGAAGGTTTCGTGCAGATGCCGGATCTGGAACCAGCCTCTGGTTAGGTGGATAGATCTGAGTTGGGTGTTAAGGAAAACTGTGTCCTATGGCTTCAAGGAGATTCTGCCCGTGAGAAATTCATTTATAGGAGCTGATAACAGAAAACTTCAACTAAATCATAGTCCTTTCCTCTTCCCCTTTTTTCAAGTGAAGTGCTTGCAGCACATTGGGTTACTTAATTTGTGCATGTATCTCGAGGGCAGTCTTCCATATTAGAGTATCTTTAAGCTATAGACAAACCCTAATTTAAAATAGGATATTTTGCAATATTAATACAAAAAATTTCTCTTTCTTTGCTAGGAGTAGAAAAGATGAAATCCATGTCACAACTTGCTGTTTTATCAAGACGATGGAGGCCGTCAGAGATGAAATTAGATTCTTTCCAGGAAGTAGTACTAGAAAGCAGCAGTGTCGAAGAATTAAAAGAGAAGGTAAAATGTGTAACGTGAAGCAAGTTTCTTGTGGTGACCAAGACCCTTATTGATGTTCTCCGGTGGGAAGCACAAGGATGTCATAGCTCCAAAAATCTTGTTGCATAGTGATTTTTTTTTTCCCCCAGGAACTGATAACCTAGCCCATCCCATTACCAAACAATATGAATTATCAACTTTACTTCTTAGTTTCTCATAATGGTCTGGTCTGAAAGTATTCAAGTGAATACATGCAAAAAAAAGTCACATCTTAAAGTTTAAGCAGCTTAGTAGTACCTTTGTCCCTTATCCTGAAAAAACAACATGAAAGAAAAGCTAAGCTATCGCTTCTTGGTATTTTTTCAAGCTAATGTTTTGTTATTCCAAAATACCAAACCTTTCAGCCTCCTCATATTTAAATTTGACAGCTGCTGCTGTCTCAAGTGGGATGAACTATGTTTTGATTGGAAAGAAGTATGGCTGAGGTATGGTTTGGTTTTACTTAAGGCCAGGGTGCTCTAACAGATAAGCAGCCCTGTCACAGCAGACCTGTGTCATCCCAGCAGAAATCTGGAGGAGGAGTGATTCCTGTTGAGACTGTTTTGTTAATCCATTGTATCACAGGGTTCCACATTTCGAGAAATGTTTATTTACACGTGGCAAAACCCAGTTGTTAGAAGGCTACCTTGGAGGTTGAGGTCAGAAAAAATGCTGGTGTCAGTGACCCTGAGAATTCATAAATTAGGGTGTTAGTTCACAGGCTGGGTTTGTGTTGTACACAGGTTAAGCTATGGGCTGCTTTCTTGCATTCCTCAGGTAGAAATGAAATCATGACTACAGGTACTTGCATTCCTCAGGTAGAAATGAAATCATGACTACAGGTTCTTGCATGCAGTCAAGAATTCCTCCTCACTTATATCTGAAAAGAGTTGGCTGCCTTTGTTTTCTTGCCGTAAGAACTGATGTGCAGGGAGCAATTTTATTTTTTAAAGTTCTGGTAGGAAGTGCAGGTGTGTGGAGGTGGGTCTTAGTCATGCATATTTTCCAGCTGTGCCTGCTCCCAGGTTGACTGGATTCCATGTCACAGAGATTTAACATGAGGCACTTAGTCTCTTTTTATCTTGGAACTTGAATGTTACTAATTAATTGTTTCTATGAATTTTTTTTTGTCTCCCCATCAGTATTAAGAGGAGTGTGATAAAATGCTGTCACAGCAAGTGTCACTTGTGACACACGCGGGTCACTTCAGAAATGTTAAGAATGTGTACTTGTCACTTTAATTTCGTACATTGGAGGACTTGCAGTTAATTCGACTTCTAGATTTGGCAACTATTCACTTTATGATGACACTGTGTAATGTTGCTTTGGAATAGTATTAAATCCACCATTTCTCTTCACAGCTAAGTGAAATAAGTGGAATACCCTTAGAAAACATTGAATTTGCAAAGGTAAGTAAGATTTTATGTTTTTTTTACCTTTTAATGGCACAGATGTGTGATTATGAGTTTTATTGTATTCACTAAGTAATTGCTTTTTTCAGGGTAGAGGAACCTTTCCCTGCGACATTTCCATCCTAGAGATTCATCAAGACTTGGACTGGAATCCAAAAGTATCCACATTGAATGTCTGGCCCCTGTACATTTGTGATGATGGTGCAGTAATATTTTATAGGTATGTATTTCATTACAGGATAATAAACAACACAAAAAAAAAAACCCTGTGGTTCACATTTGTGGGGTGATGTAATGGGCAGGAACATAAAATATTCTTTGTTACCTTAAAGAAAAGGTTTGAAACATTCAGCTGAAATATTGGTTCCTAAAAGCTGAGGAAGCTCCTCAGCTTCCTAAAAGCCTGAATATTAATTAAGGTTAAGAAAACAAGCACTGCATCCTTTTACTCAATCCTCTGTCCCAAACCACTGAAATTAAAGCTAGTCGCTATGCTTGAGTGTGTATCTGGATTTAATTCCTTAAAATAGAACCATATCCCATGTGGAGTTAATGAGAGCCTTGCTGTAGGTTTTGGAGAGCTAGGATTTTTATTGTCTGAGTTTATTTCTTTGAGAAAGTATTATGGATTGTTTTTAAAAAGCCTGTTATGCTGAAAATTCTGTTAATGTGAAAAATGTTGATCAGCTGGTGGCAGTAGCCTGGGGCAGGAGTTGAGGACTGAGAACTTAAATATTGTCATTTCTTCTAAACTTGGTGGGTGGGGCAATCTCATGGACACATTGCTGTGGCATTTTGCATAATTGCATGTGAGCTGGGGAAAAACAGCTGGTTAATAATCTGCTGGTCCTGATGAAAATTACTTAGGAGAACATCTGGTAAAGACTGGCTGACACACTGCTTTCAGCTGTCTGCACTGAGACCAAAAGCAGAGCAGAGCTGTAGTTGTCTATACAGAACAGGGGGAAGAGAGAGGGAGGCATATGGGTTTGTGTCTTGCCCTGGTCTGTAGTCAGGCAGAACACTGAATGTTTCTGCTGGAAAAGCAGGTTTAGACACGTTGCCTGTTCCTGCAGAATAAAGCAATCCCTGAAAAGTATTATGTTTAGTTGTGGTTTTTACTAAGTGGCTCCAAGCCAAAAAAAGAAAAGCAGAAGTCTACCTGTGGTTACTGTATTAATCTGAATTTGAACATATTGTTTACATTTTAGGGATAAAACTGAAGAATTAATGGAATTAACAGATGAGCAAAGAAATGAACTGATGAAAAAAGAAAGCAGCAGACTCCAGAAAACTGGACACCGGGTAACCTACTCTCCCCGTAAAGAAAAAGCACTAAAAATTTATCTGGATGGAGCACCAAATAAAGATTTGACTCAAGACTGATACTTGCTATAGCATTTTCCCTGGGGAATTTTTTTTGTTTCCAATCAAAAGGTTCACTACTACTGTGTAGTGCCATTACGGCAGGACATTCATTAGGTGTAAAGCGCTGACACCAGCAGAGCCGGGCGGTGCCGGCCGCAGGCAGGGCCCCCTGGGCACTGTGGGACTTGGAATCATGTTGTGCACTATAGTCAAATGTACTGTAAAGCTAAAAGGGATGTGCAAATAAAAGATTAGAACTCAAAAGTGGGCGGGGAGGGAAACGAGTGGAAATTGTTGAGGACAGTGTGCACATAGTAGCTAGTGAAACTAGCCTCCAACAGGATACTCATAGCTTAATAATAAAAGCTGTGCAAAGGCCATGAAAGAATCCTTTTCTCTGTTTGTTTCACTGATACACGCATTACCTCATCAGAGACTCTGGAGTAAATGTTAACACATTGGTTCTAGGAAAGCAGCAGGGAAGGGCCAGGCATGGGAATGCTGCAAGTGTCAGGTTTTAGAATATTCTTCCATAAAACAGGGGGTCTGAGAGATGTCTGCAGGAAGCTGCTGGCAGGCCTTGTTTGTTTGCAGAAGTGCTGTTGTAAGGTAAAGTGGTTTTTAATAGGTTACCAATGAGCAACTCTAGTGTATTGCGTTCAATGTGTAAATAAAATCTGCCCTATCCATTTACCGAAACTGCAGTTCAGCTATTTACCATGCTATTCTTTACACATATCAACATTCATTGTGTACATTTGGAAGTATAGTTGCCTATTTAAATTTGTATTCATTTTATGTTTGAGGATGCTGGGTACTTTAGGGTTAATGAAGTTTTTGTTCTGTTCTGCTACTTTTTGTACATTTTGTTTTTAAGACTATTACAAGTTTGCATCTTCTCCACTTGCTGAAAGTCAGTTTATTTTTTCCCAGAGTTGATTCCATAGCTATATGTAGTCAAATATTGGGGCAACCTCTTAACACCTCAATGTACGAACTCAGTAGTTCAGGCTGTGGTGCAGAGACTGATGCAGTCAACATGATTTCATTGCAAAGCCTAGGAACAGCAATTTTTTGCTTTGGTCCATAAAGATCAATAGAGAACAATTCTCCATAGGTTTTGGGAAAGCCACCTAATTTATAACAATCAAAAGATTTTGGTAAACTTTTTCATGCCAGATGCTGTTTACAACAATGAACATGCCAATAAAACATTTGTTCATTCTGTTGTGTTATTTTAATCATTAAATGCTGTGGTTTTTATTTAAAAAATTATGGAATTGTTTCATGGAAATACAGACTTCCCCAAGGCAGTGCTGGAATTGCAAGGTTGTGTGTTTGTGTGTATGTGCACATCCCCCTCCACGTACAGAGTGTTACAGGAACTGGTTTATAGTCTGGTTGCTGCTCCTCTTCACATTCATGCCAAATTTTTCTTCAGCTGTGAGTTTCCTTTTCCAGAACTGAATTTCTCACCAGTGAAATCTCCAAGTTCCAAGTATGACTGGCAGCTAAATTCTGCTCCAGAGGGAAAGGGCTGTTCAATAACAGAACCTTCAGTTCTTTTTGCATGCTGGCCCCCAGCAACCCAAAAATTCTGAGGAATCTGGCAGCTGGAGAAGCAGGCATTGCACAGAGGCATTCCCTCATTATTCCTCTTTGGACTGCCCTATGCTGCCTCTTGGCCACTGTATGTGAGGTTGGAAGAGGGGGCAAAGGGAGCAGAGAGGGAAATACCATCTCCTGGGTAGGGTACTTCACTGAACTACCATTTACCACAGATAGAGACTGCTAAAGCATCCTTAGAGCTTTTTGAAGAGAGAAATGGATCACGAATTTTCCTCAAACTGATATTTGGAAAGGCAAAAATGTAGAGATTAAATTTGGGAGCGGCAGCACCAAGAACTTGAAAGGAGAATAATGTCCTTAAGAGGGCAGTATTTACAGAGAGTTACTTCTTTCATAGATATGTTTTCAATCAGGAAAATAAAGAGTGGCATTTAATTCCTTCTCTTTGTATAGATGGGGCAGTCTTAAAGCACAGTAATTTTATTAGGGATAGAAAGACAGTGTAGGCTCAGTGAACTCTCAGAGATGATGTCTGTGTGTGTGTGTTGGTGTGAGAATGGATCGTAGAATCCTTAAACCAAAACTAAGATAGTTAAAATTAAATATCCTCCCTGTTTATAATGACAATGGCTATTAATTATTAATTCTGCCACCCAAGGAATTTATTGAAAAGCCTTCTTACATCAGAAGTGGGGAAAGACGTGCAGATTGCTGGCACAGTCTTACACCTGCTCTTGTTATTGGTGCTCTGCTGTTCCAAACTAGATGTGAGCAATAGGGATTATTTGGGAAGAAGCACCATGAAAAGTTACTTGGCTGGAACCTCACATCTTATTTTACCATGTGCAACAACAGATGGTGAAATCTATCAGAAAACCATTAATAGTGGAGGAGCCATGGTAGCAAACTGGTAGCTGGGGAGTTTGCTGGGGGGGTCAGATTTTACTCCTAGCTTGCTATTGATTTTTTAAATCATTGACCTTTTAAGATGGTAAAAATAATCACATCTTGTAACATGCACAGATTTATGCCTGTGAGGGGTATTAAAAACAGAAAACAATTCTAAAGAAAAAAAAATTAAATTCCTTTTAAAATTCCTTAAAATTTATGACTGCAACAGTGTCAGAGTAAATGGCTCTTTCCTTAGAGAAATAAAACAACTCTGAACATCCATACTCAAAGATCACTTCTATAGTTTCTAATAACTTAAAATGATTTATGCTTGTGTGTCTTTTTAATGATTACAAGTACTAAGAAGTTTATTTCTGACATACAAGAGGAAAATACAAATCCAGAAGAGCACTCCTATGGTTCCCATTTGGCAGAAGGTTTGAAGACAGGGCCTTAATGAATTCCACAGTAGCATGAATTCCACAGGGACATGCAGGTTTGGTGCACAGAGAAGGATGCTCCTTGAAAACCTTGTTTATTGCACTTCTATCCAGTAGTGTGTGTTCAGGGTTCACATAACTAAGCAAAAAAAAAAAAAAAAATCTAAAAATAACTAACTAAACTGGTGCTTTGGGCTTTAGATTTCATCTCCCAAAACCAGCTCCTGAACTGCCTCAGGCTCAGGCTTCAAACCTGCTTGGTCCTCCAGGCTTTCTAATTCTCTACGCACTTCCTGGATGACACTGCTCTCCTCATAATCGGAGAGGAGATCTTGAGGGAGCAAGCTGAGAAAGGGCATCTCATCCATGATGAGGGGATCTTCCTTTTCAGTGTGCTGGGTTTCATTGGCAGACAGCTGACACACAGGTGTAGTCCTGTGGCTGTTGGGAAAAGGCACATCTGGTCACACAGTGCATCATTTTGTGTTCTGCTAGTCTGTGAAATTCTCCATTCCCTCCCCATATGAAAATGTGTTAAATGCACAATGGATAAACAGGTAACAAAAAAAAAAAAAGTTACTTGAATCTTCAAATTCAGATAGAAACTTCTGGACAGTTCAGCTATATTCACAGCCCAATTAATTTCTGTGTTTCTGTATCCTCATCCTAAACGGTGTTCTTACTAGAACTGACATTTGCTGACAGACCTTCCCTGAGTTTAACGGTGCATTAACAAAAATTTTGGTGCTGATAGGATGGGATCAGCTCTGCTTGCTTCCTTAGATGGCATTTATGAAATAAAATGTTACTCAATTCCTTTTTGAGCATGAAAAAACGTAGAAAGAGTTGGACACAGAAGAGGGAAGTATTAATCTGCATCTCTATCCCAGCTATGATGTCTTGTTGGAAGTTAATATGATGCTGGAAGTGTAGGAGAAAACTTGGAGAGTTTATTTCATAGAAAACGGTGGTTTTCTAAAAATGCTTTTAACAAAACTGAAATGGTCTTACTTCCTGCCAATGAAATCACTGATGATACAAATATTTCATTTTAAAGAAATATTAAAGGCATGACCTATGAAAAATTTGTATTAAAATTCCTTTAACATATCTTACATTCTAAAACAAGCAAAAATCTGACAGATGCCCGGTATCACATACAGAGTTGGTGGGCAGGGACTGTATGCAGTGAATGGAATTGGAAGGATGCATTTCAACAGCTGGTAGCACCAACTGATGAAAAAGCAGTACCAGCCTCATTAATTCACACTGGATTAATGTGTTGCCAAACTCAATTAGGCACATCCATGTGGGACAAAGCGAAAGGTTTCAGCGCTACTGATGAGGAAAACTGTCAAAACCTTTCCTAGTGAGGCAGAATCTAGAAGTTTCTCTATTTACCACATAAACAGACCCCTCCAAAGTTCCAAGCAGCTTGTTTGCCCAGATTTGGTCCTTACCTCTGGGGCTGGCAGCTCAGGCCGCCTGCACAGGGGCACTGCTCCAGAACTCCATCAGGCTCCATGTCCCAGGTGATGAGGTTGAGAAGTCTGTTGGAAGGATCATGGCAGGGCTCACCTTCCTCAGGCAAGGGTGTGCACACAGGAAACAGAAGCTCTGCAGGCCAAGGGAAAGGCATTTTAGGAGAAGTCCTTAGCTGTCTGCTAAACTGGGGTGATCCCATGTTTAATTCTGTGTGCAAGATATAAAAAGACAGGCTTGATCTCTTTTTAAGTTCCCTTACGTGACAGGGAGCCATAACCATGTTTTTTCCAGTAGGTGGGAGTAAGACATTTGAAGTTCATCCTTAATGAGCATGATCAGCTTGACTCAGAGACTGCTGTCAAGGCAGTACAGCACGCCTCCATCCCTTGGAGATCCCAAACTCTTCTAATCCCAAGAAAACTAACATTACAGGGAATCCTTTGCAATGAGTAACATTAACAGTTTGAAATCTGAATAGAGACATACCTCTGTATCTTAAACTCTATTTTTTAATATTTCTTTGCAGAGGCTGCAAATACAGAGCAACTGTTCAGAAACTAATGAGGTTACAAGAGCTACAACTCGGACATGTAATTTATTTTATTAATTCCGCTGTGGGCAAAGCTGTCTGGTGGCATCTGGGGCTTGGCACCCTTGTTGCTACACAGGGCTGAATTTCAGCCTGTGTAAGAAATTATTTAAGAAGGCTGTGTCCTTTGGGTTTCCTCATGTCAGTAACTCCCAGTCTCAAGTCTGGAATTCAGCTCTTCCAGATATTCCTAGAAAACCCACCCTCTTCCTCTTGTCTTCAGTCACCTCATATGGCAGGATGTAATATGAGAAGAATTCAAACTCTTACGTTTTTTTATCAGATTTAGTAAAAAAACACATATATGTGTGTGTATGCACAGACAGGTGTGCTTTAATGTACATGTTCCTAGTTTCAAAACATTATATACTGAACAGTAAATGCTCCACAGTTTACTATAGTTTTACATACACATCTCTACTAGGACAATCATTTGCAATACTCTAGTGATGGAGAGAGACCTAACCTGAAAAACCCTAAAGCCCTGCTAAAGCAGACAGCCATGGTGAATAAAAATTCATTGCTTTTAATCAATAGCACTATTTTATGTTCTAACAAGAGTGTTCTATCAATATTCAACAATGTTCTTACCTATTGAAAAATATATATATAAGCTAGGGAAGTATGTACCTGGTGTAGGGAGCAGCCTGGAATTGTGTCCTGTCACTGCTAAAAGAAAGTGACCTGTGATAAATGTGATAAATGCAGTGAGGAGCTGGTGGGTATAAAACAGTAGAAGAAACTGGACCCCAACCAAACAGGACTGGGGATGGATTTCAGGCCTGAGACCTTCTCCTCTGTGCTCCTTTCTGTAAATCAAGTTTCACATTCACATTCCCACGTGGACTGACAGCATAATCTGGGACATCATTCCTCTGTGTCCCTTGGCTGCCTGGTCACCACTGCATGGTGTGATGCCCTGGAAGGCTGACGTGAAACTCAGAGTATAAAATCTATCTGCAGCCTGATTCTGCTGAGAGGAAGGAGAGGACACATTCAGCCAGCTCATTAATTTCTTCTGCACGTTTGTAATTTTATCATTTTTGCTCTATTGTGTGTAAATTCGACATAGAACTCTCCTTTAGAAATGCACATTTTTGTGCTTCTGCTGCTGGTCTCATCTCTAGTGTGCAACAGGCTTTGCTTTCACCAGCATGTACCCCTATCAGACTGTTTCTCACTCCCAATTCTATCAAAGTTTTCTAATGGAGTTAACCCAGTGCATTCCACAGGCCACGGGAGAACAACCTG